ACTAAAACTGCCAGACCCCAGATCTCTTGGGTTGTTGTAGCCTTATAACATAGATGCACCGTGGCAGGGCCATCCCCCAGCTCCTTTTGAAGACGCCTGACAAAATTGGGTTTGATTAAGTTATTGATCAGGTAGCAGAGTGCTCTGGTTAAATTAAACCTCTAGGCCACGACTATCTAATCCTGATCCTGCAGGACCTGCGTCTGCAGAGTTTCTAGGTTATAAAGCAGCATCTGAAGAGACGGCCACTGGGAGAGGTTGTTCATTTTGTCTAATTAAACCAATAACAGAGCTGACCTGGGTAAAGACCAATATACCAGGGTAGGACACTCTGCTTCCGGTATTGCAATGTTTAAGGACTGAAGGCATGAGCGTCTTAGAACAGGGAAGAGCAACTCCAATCAATGAGGACCACAGAATCCTATGTCAGTACTCATTTTATAATTGGAGTGATTATTTGGATGAGGACTCAAATTACCTTTGAATTAAATTTTATGCAAATGACAACTGAAGGGACCCCTGTAAAACTTAAAGGAGCCTGACCTTTGGGGATTCAAGTTGGTCAGTATTCAAATCCTCACCGAATTCAGATCATCTCACCTGGAGATGATCCAGTCCATGGTGTGTGTGTAGGGTTTCATTCTAACTTGCAGTTGTATCCAGCTCAAACAACAAACTAATGAATATTTCTGCAGTGGTTTGAAAGTTTTTGATACCGTTTGTGGTTGAAAAGAGAACTATGAGCAGGGCGGTGTGGTGGGCAGCACAGTTACCTCACAGCATCAGGATCCTGAGTTTGAGTCTGGATGCCAGTGCCTGTCTGTATGGAGTTTGCATGTTCTTCCCTATGTGCATGTGGGGTTTTGTCGGCTGATCCGGCATTGTCTCACATATCAAAAACGTACAAGTGAGGTTTGATTGGTCACTCTGATTCGCCCCCCTGGGGTGTGTCCTCAGTCAGGACTTGTCCAGGAGCAGTGCTGTCTGAGCCTCTCTCCTCTGCAACCAGGGCTCAGAATGGCTTCCAGGACCAAGAGTGGAATCCCCTGACTTTGCCGGTCATTGAAGACAAGGGGGAGGAAAAATCAAGCCCTTCCTCCACAGCCCTCTCCTTCCTTGATGGAAAGCAGATAGAAACAGAAACAGAAAATGCAGGAAAGAAAACACAAAACAAATCAAAGGTCACCACAAAATGAGTGACTGCAAAACAAAACGTGCATTTCCTCTCTGTCTCATTCATGCCATACCGCTCCTACCACAACGCCATGAGAGTTATCTTCACATCGCGCTGGAAATGCGATACTGGTTGCTATGAGTGAGACCCGTTAATGTTGGTTCGGGGTCTCTATGCAGCTGGTGCACAGGGTCCAGAAAATGGATGGTGTAGGCACACCCTTTGGTTATCTCCCGACTTCAAGCTCAGTTACGGGAGTCCAGTACAGCTTTCAGTGGTGGCTCTTCTGTTGTTGTTTTCCCTCTCGTGAAGCTCAGAATGTGAAATTCTTGCACGTCACCATCATGTCAGTTTCAATAACCACTCCTCTCAGTGCACTTTTCACTGACTGTACTGATTGTACTGTATTATTGTATCATTTCATTACGCTGTGCTGTGTTGACTGTGTTAAGCTGCTGTTGCACTGCGATTTCCCTCACAGGATCAATGAAGTATCTATCTAATGAATTCAGGGTTACAGTGGCCTGGAGCCTATCCTGAGAAGCAATGGGGGCAGGGCAGGAGACATCCTGGACAGGACGCCAGTCCATCACAGGACACACAATCACACAAAGGCCAATCAACCTACCTACACGGCTTCGCACTGTGGGAGGAAACTGGAGCAGCCAGTGCAAATGCAAGGAGAACATGCAAACTCCACACAGACAGCACCCCAGGAACTGAACCCAGGGCCCCAGTGGTGCAAGGCAGCAGTGCTGTCCAATGCACCACCAGGCTGCACATGTAAAATGACTTTCAATCCAAATCCAACTCTTTATATTGTTAAATGGCTGTCATCTTTCAGCTTTTTTTTTGTCACCTTTCAACCTTGTTTGTAGAGCAACAGGGTGTGGCCCTACAAGATACACCAGCAGCAGTCAATTTCTCGGAAAGATTGGTAAAGGTATTCGCTAGACTCTCCTGTAGTAAAACTCACAAGTTCTGCTCATTACCTTTGAGGTTGTTGCCCAGGCGGCATGGGAGCAGTGTTACAACTGTTAATAATTAGACGATTAATATGATCCATTCAAATATTAGGGTTTCAATAGGGTGTGCACCCTAGGGTGTGTGCGCATTTGTGTTTTCATATTCTACACAAAGTATATAGAAATCGTGCTCTGACTTCACAGTGCAGGTCTGATGTGCTCTGTTTCTTTCCTAACTGAGAATTGCAGGACTTCAGCCTCAAACCATCCGCCTTTTGGAAAACCCGGTGTAAAGTGAAAAAAAAACCCGGGTCACGTGGCCGAATTGTGCTTGTTCCCAGTGCTCGCGGAATAAATGAGCTGGTTGCTTAGCTGTCGGCGTGTAAGATGTTTTCAAAAGCGCACGATGGGAATAGAGCACAAGCTCAGTATTTCGAATGCCGTCAACTGTCACAGAATCATGAACTGAAGTGACCTCTGCGCTTCCAGCGTCTAAACCTAAACCTACCTAACTGGTTCGGACTGTTTCCTTGTTGCTTGTTCTCGTTTCTGAACGTCATGTTTCTTTTTGTCGGTCCTGCTGATGTTCCGATTATACCGGTGACGTCAGAGATAAAGAAAATTATTTGAATATCTGTGTTTACTTTCCTTGGCTTTCTGTTATCAGGAAAGACTCTCGAAATCTTCAGAACCGCATTCAATTAAGATGAAGATTAGAAACAGTGAATGCTTAAAACCTAGGATTTTCTAAACACGTTTCGCGATAAGTTTAATGGCTCCAAACACCAGTTAAGATGTACAAAGTGCTTACTTGTGACTCCAGTAGGGACACTTAGTCCTCCTCTGTAATACCAATATCGGTTTAAGAAGCGGTAGCACCTGAAACGAGGTTAGAATCTTTTTTTTTTAATCCTGAGATTTTTTAACTGGACCTGCATTGTTAAAAAAAACAAACAGCAGATGTAGAAAAGGTCATTATTTTATTCTTTATTCATGACAAAACGATCAGAAATAAAAATAACATAAGGTTTCGTTTAGAGCTTTTGCATTTTCCAGGATAGTATTTAAATGATTGTAAAACATCGCAACAACAACAACAACAACAACAACAACAACAACAACAACAACAACAACAACAACAACAACTATTATGCCTCCATTTTCTAACGGTTTTGTCCAATTCAGGGCTCCAGGGGAGGCCAAGTCTATCCAGGCAAGCAGCGGGTGTAACACAGGCAGGGCACACACTGGACAGGACGCCAGTCCACTGCAGGGCGGACACACACTCGCACCAGGAAGTAACCCACGCAAACACAGGAAGAGCATACAAACTCCATGCAGATAGCACCCCCGGAACTGAACCAGGGCCCCAGTGCAACACAGATAACCAGCGCAGCAGTGCGTATTAATTTATAATCATTTCTTACATCATCAGCATTATTATTGTTGTTGTTGTTGTTGTTGTTGTTACTAATACTACGAATAAAGACGAGTTCATAGCGTTTCAGAATGATGACCGTCTCGTGTCCTGATCCTGCTTGTGTCCAGCAGGTCTGGACATGGGCAGCAGGCTGCCGTGATGCAGCGATCAGACCTCCAAGGGGTGTTGGTGGACCGGGAGGCTGCACCCTTCACTGTTCATCAGGGTTTCCAGACCCGCCGGCCCAGTAGGGTGAGTGGTGAATCCCAGCTGCAGGGGGCGCTGGTGCTCTCACTACCTGGTCAGTAATGCTCCCAGGGGGGTTTCCAGAGGGTTGTCTGATGTCCTCGCTGGATTCCTGGGGTGGTGGGGGGGACGACAATCTGCTCCCCCCCCCCGACGTCCCCCCTTAAATCAACCAGCTCACCTCCACCTACTCTGCCCAGTAAGCAGGCTACTGGTGCAGAATGACAGCTGTGTGTCACCTCGGTACAGTTTAGCAGTGAATGAAATCAGGCTCTGCCTATACTGTATATGAAGTACTGTGCCTATACAAAAACATCCCTTTTATTTTTTTCCCATGCAATGACAGTAGATTTAAAGGCGAAATGTTGGTTTTTGTTACACGTGGGAAAACCCAAATCCTCCAGGACAGGTACTTTCGATTACGAAAATGACCCGATTTTATAGAAAAATTATAGAGCACTGGAACATTTCCAATGTGATTTCTCATTATTTTTCGGGGTTCTATCGTTATCTCTTGCTACCGCGCTGCGGGTTTCATCCGCAGTCAGTCCAGCCTCTTACAATCAACACGCAAAAACTGTAGTTTGTCGATCGGTTCTGCATCGCGCGTTAGTCACGGAGGGTGGTTTTGGAGAAGGCCGGTTGCTACAGGCAGAGCGAGTGTATAGTTCAGGTTTCGACAGCGTGCCACCGCTTGCGTGGGAAGAGGGATCGGGTCGGAGCAGTGGGTGCGCTCTGACACAATTTCAGCGTGTTTAAGAAAGTAACGTGGGGATTAAGCGCGCTTCGGGCACCGGGAGGCGGTGCCGGCTATGCAATGCGAGCTACAAGCTGCGGAGTTTAAGGCAACATAAAAATACAGTTCCGAGTTACCCTGAGTGCGCCCTCGATATATTTCAATCTCTTGTCCCCAGTTTTACTTACCATTAACATTAAAACACTCTTATTACACGGCCAGTTTCGTTATACGCGAAGCCGGTGTGGTCTGTCAACCCGACGCTAAATAAAAGCCGAGGGTTTATAAATAAACTGCAAGAAAAAAAAAGAAAGAAAGGGGGACCGATAAACTGCGGAGGCTCTTGTCGTTGATGCTCCATCTGACGATTGGCACCATCGCGACTTTTTTTTTTTTAAAAGAGGGTGAGTAGACGTGAAATAAACCCGCGTGGATCCGTGTACGCCGCAGGTAGCGCCGATGCAGCCCGGTGTAGGTTTCAGGGGTTGGAGCGCAGCAGGACCGCGCGGGGAGGGCACACGCGCCCCTCTCCCTCCCGGGGCACCCCTGCCGCGGGCTCGCGGGGCGCCGCTCGCTCGCGCAGACCGGGGCGAGCCGGGCGGATCATAAGATCCGTGCTCGAGCGCGGAGGGGCCGCTGCTGCCAGACGCGAAGTGGAGCCGGAAGTGGGCGGTTGGAGATAGAGAGTGAAAGAGCGAAACAGACAGACCGAGAACTGCGTAACTGACTCGGGGTTAGGGGAGAAACTGGGAGAGAGAGAGAGGTCTGTTACTGGGGTTGTGCTAGGGAGAGCCTTCTGCTTGACTTTTTTTATGTGAAAAAGAATACTTCCGTCGAGCGTCCGGCTGAGGTAAGTTGCTGTTTATATATTTTTAAAACGTCTGTGTTATATTGGAGAAGGGGGGGGGTGGGTCTGTGGAGAAACGTTTCGGCGGTGTTGATCTTTCGGGTTGCGAAATATTTCGGGGGGGGGGTGGAAGAAGCGTTTTGTAAACAAAACGGGCTGGTCTGCGAGGTGTCGTGCAGTCGGGGCTGCGGTTGTTGACATTTCGGCCGCGCTAATGAACTTCAGTCGCTCTTTCTCAAGAGTGCAGCCTGCATTGGTCTGCTGTGAGTTATGGGCACTCGGTGCATTCTCTTCCTGATGTTTTAACTCCTTTGAGAAAGTACTGTCAAGCCGATATTTCCTTGGACTGTGAAATGAGACAGACTGAAACAAGCCCAGTGGTGTTGGGGGTACAGGAGAGTAAGATCTATTTTCCAACTGCGACCTGCCGGGGATCCGATGGTGAGAACGGACGGTGTAATTAACAAAATAGGTTTTAAAAAATAAAATCGCCAGGCGGGGATTTTTCCTTTGGGGGGGGGAAACACCCCGCAACAACCCTTAGTTTCAGTCTCTGCGAATTTTGAATTTTTTGTCGCGGTCATGCAGGTATGGTGGAGGTTGAGCAAAATAAATAAATAAAAAAAATACTTTCGTTCAGCCAGTCCTCAGACCGCGTCTTGTTGAAGTACGGTACTTCAGCTGCTGGTGGGGGCGCCAGTATATTATTAAGCAAGAAATTATTGACGCAGATGGAACCGTAGCTAAGGTTTCCGAAGTTGTGCTGCGAGTCGTGTCTGTTATTCGGCAGCGAACAGGCGTGCTGTAAACATGTGCTGCCGAAGTTGAAGTCCGGCAGGGATATTCATTTTTTATTTCGACATCGCACTCGCAGCAAGGGGTAATGGCAGAGGAATCTTCATTTAAATGTCCGCGTTGCTTAACTCCGTTGTTTTTCCTCAGACTTGGTGCACTCGTAACCCTCTACACTGTATGTGTGGACACATGCAAATGTTCGCTGTGTACGTGCACATCTGCATATGTCTTTGGTTTTCCTTACGTACATTCTATAAAGTGGTTTAACACGTGTTAATTCACTAAATGGGAAATTCTCATCTTAATTAAACACTTACAGGAGTGACAGAGATAATTCGTATATTTATCAAAAACGCTGTTATATAGAATCTATAAATACACTTCATTTGATCACTAATACAAATTAAAGGGTATCTAAATAATTTAAATCTAATGATAACACTTGGTCCTTACGAAAAGAGTCATGAGCGCACTTGGAGAGTATTCCCCGCTGCTTCATGTAACAGGACAGGGTCGGTTTTTGAGGCCGGACACGGTACAGGGAAATTACTCATGAAGGGATGTGGTCATCGTGTCCTGAGTGGGGAAAAGCCCCGGTGAGCTTTCTGAATGTGAAAATATACCTCGTTGGCCACCCCAGGCTGTTCAGTGCAGCATGGGGATAACCTGGGACCAGAGGATGTTGAGAGCACCAGTAGGAGCATGTGATTGAGCGATGTCAGGTCTCCCGAGGTGGGGAGGAGCTCACCTGCCCCCTTTTTACAGTTTTTATTGAAGTTCTGAGTTTGTGGTGAGGCAGCAGGGTTGCTCAGCGGTCAGCTGTGCTGCCCATTCTGCCCCTGAGGTGCCGTTTGTGTGGAGTTTGTATGTCCCCCCCGTGTTTTCATGGGGTCACCTCTGGGTGCTGCAGTTTCCTCCCCCAGTCCAGACGGGCAGATAAAAGACAGACTTGTGGGTTCATTTGCTGAGTTTGTAAGGTAGTTGGCAGAGTTGAGGCTTGCCGTTTCATCCCGGGTGAATACTTTTAAACCCACCCGAACTGGGTTGGTAAATGTATTCGGACCCTCTTCTGGTGCTGCCCGGGTTGTCCATCCCCCTTTCCTTTGGCTGGCCACGGAAGGATTTTTCTCTTTAAGCGGATCTCTGCATCTCTCCTGACTTCTTTTAGAACTGCTCCTGAAGTGTTTGATTCATGCTTTGACTTTTCACGCCCTAAATCTTTCACAATAGTTTACTTCCATGACGTCTATAGCCTTCGACAAGAAGGAAGACGATTGAGTGTGAGTTGTTCTGTTGCCTTTGGATTTCTTACAAACCAGACTGCGTTTTCTCAAAGTGACATCCACTCTGACCGTGCAATTCTAAGCAGTGTGGTTTTATTGATCTATTTATGTTCATCGGACACAGCTGAAATAATTGACTGTTCAAATGATTGCATTGTCACACTTGGTTCTATCGCAGGAGTTCAGAGAGATTACTGTATCCCGTCACCTCATCCATTCCTTTTTATCCATCCTTTCGTTTTCTACCCCTTTATCCAGCACAGGGTGGCAGGGGAGTGGGAGCCTATCCCAGCAAGCAGCGGGTGCAAGGTAGGGTACACTCTGGATGGGATGCCAGTCTGTTATAGGGCACACACAGACACAGATATGAACACACTCGCACCAGGCCCAGTTTTCCCCCAGAAGCCTATGTATCTAGCAGTATGTCTTCGGACTGTGGGAGAAAACTTGACCACCTGGCAGATTCCCACAGGAGCATGGGGAAAACACACAAACTCCACACAGAGAACACCCCAAGTCCGCATTTGAACCCGGGGCCTCAGCACTGCGAGGCAGAAATAATAACCACTGCGCCACTGTGAGGCCCATGCATTTTTATGATCGCTATAAAACATTCTGAGCACGGCTCCTCTTCTGCCCTTTTTGAACATGCGCTGTTCCGAAAGAGTCCAGGATTACACTTAGATGTGTAGCAAGCTCCTGGAAACAGAATTTTAAATCACTTCGGAAAAATCAATCAAAAACAGGCCAGCATTCTAAAAAATTCCTTGGCCTCTCATTTTGTATGTGTTGTCATATTAATAGAACTCAAAGAACTTAGGTGGCAAAGCAGTAAATTGTCTCTATCAGAAGGACCTCACTCCATAATGACTGCTCTGTGCCCTTATTTTCTGAGAAAAATGTAAGACTGGTAGTACTAGGGTACTGAGAAAAAGTGAAGGGGTGTTAAAATTAGCAGGGTAGCTTCTTTTATACCAATCTATTAGAAAAGAGTGGTATTAAAATTATTTCCAAAGCCGTATATAGAATTTTGGAGTCAAGGGAAAGATGTGTAAGTTTTTGACTGTACACAGTTCAATATTGTGAACAACATTATTTTAATATTTTGTTCAATACATTAGTGTTTTGTATGGGGGTGGGGCTTTTGCTATAGAGAGCTGGGCATCTTGTTTTCATGATCCTATATGTTTGTCAATGAGTGACTATGGAATGGTGCTCTGATTAGCCTACGGCACTTCCCACGATTCTGCCGAGTCATTTGATATCTGGGGCCTCTGATGTCTATGTAAGGAGAGAAGGATTTCATGACGTTTGGAGTCATTGTCGCATTGAAAGATGCATCCATGCCCAGTGAGCCAGGCTCTCGTGCAGTGTCTTGGCCAATCAGAACCTGCCTCTATTGGTCAACAGTCAGGGTGGCCCGTCCATGAATTCATCCGTTTTCCGACCGCTTTATCCAGTTTGGGTTTGCGGGGGAGCTGGAGCCTATCCCAGCAAGCAACAGGCGCAAGACACACAGACACACACTCACACCAGGGCCAGTTTTCCTGGAAGCTAGTTAACCTCCCAGTATGTCTTGGGACTGTGGCAGGAAACTGGAGCTCCCTGAGGAAACCCATGTGAACCTGAGGAGAATTTCCACGCAGATGGCACTTCCTGGTCTATAATTGTACCCAGGTTCCCAGTGTCCAGATGTTGTATAAATCCCTGATGCCCTTAGTTGATACAGCACCCCAATTGTGCTGATCTACCCTTATGCTTTCCTGTATCTGACATATACTGCTGATAAACTGCTGTTCAGCACAGACTTTGACACATCTGTGAAGAAACCCTTCTTCATCAGGTTCGCTCTGTTTAGTTTCTGGTATGCAGCTTAGCCTTGTTTTCTGCCCCTGAGGCCATGCATCTTCTGATGCATTGCAGCCTCCACAGCACTTTACAGGAGAGGTAGGGCTGATCGGAGGAGGAGCGGCCTGTCCATCGCTCATGCCACTGCGAGCCTGCCAGCACCTGGGGGAGCTGCCGGAGTTGCCGCTCTGCCAGGAGAGAGCTGGCTTTGTAATCCTTACCCCCCAGTGACACCGGCGCAGTGAATCCTGGTCACAGCTGGCTCCCAACTCTGAGCACAAAGGCTTAAACCAAAGCCTCATCTACCCCTTTGTACCCCACAGCTGAAAGTCAGTTTGTCTTTCCTGGTTTATCCCCCCCCCCCCATACGTAGCAAGTTGATGGTTGAGTTGTTGGCCTCCTATCCCCTGTAGCTTGCTCTTGTCACTGTTTTTCTCACCTGCAGGCCTCACAGTGCCTAGAGACGAGTAAGCGGCCCTCTGAGGGGCAATGCATCTCTTGCCAGTGATGCTGCATGCCCATCAAGGCCAGGGGGTTTGCTTTTAGGTGGTGTGGAAAAGGTGGGCTGATTGATGTAAGTCTAGACAGATATTGATGGCACTTGGCCAACTGTGCACCACTACTTGGTGGAAATCCCAGTCATAGTCCGCTCATAATAATGTTGTATAGACTCAGTCTGCACTGTAGGGCAAATCTGGTGCTGTGCACAAGATGTGTTTAATGGTTGAAAGCTTTTTATAGTGTTACCATATAGAGTCCTGGCCTGAAAAGTAAATGAAAGAACAGCATTTGTGTGCTTTTACACAAATTAACTGAGAGTGTAATAAAGCTGTAACTCTTTGCTGTGAAGGGATCTACTTGTTCTTCATACTGTATTATGTGTAATTTTCAGGCAGGTCAATGAGGACATCTGTTCTCAGGCGTGACTTTACTGTGCTAACAACCTGTTATTACACTAAAATGTGTTTTTGATAACATTGTAGAAACTTTGTTCTATACTTTCAGTTTAACAGCAAACTGCCTCATATTTCATTTAACTGCCTCTTCTTCACATTCTGAAAAGCATAGGTTGTAAGT